GTGTGTTTGTGTGCCAAGTGCGACACGCTGCACCAGCACGCGCAGCCGGTCCTAACCACCACCACCACCACCACCACCACCACGACGACGACGCACCATCACGTGCCACTGCATCACAGAGCATTGTTCCGTATCAGGCCTTCCCAACGCGCGACCGCCACCTCGCCATCGCCGCCGCCACCAACCAGCAGTTTGCTGCGTTCGCCAACGCCGTGGGCTGCACCCACTGGCTCGAGGTGAAGATGTGTGTGTGTGTGCGTGTGTGTATGTGTTTGTGTGTGCGTGCGTGTGTGTGTGTATTGGGGGACTGTGCTCTTCGAGCTGTGCTGTACATGCCTCTGGTTTGGTTTACTCGTGCTTATATGACGCTGCCCAAACCCGCACCCCTCGTTGCCATGCCATGATCACCAGGATCCACGGTTTGCCACAAACGAACAGCGCGTCATCAACAGGTGCGCGCGCATGCGACAAAGATGATGGTTGTGGTGATGACATTATATCACATGCACGTCAAGGCATGTTGCAGCCACACACATGCTCACCACCACCATCACCACCACCACCACTCATCACTGCAGGGCTGAGCTGGTGCAGGCGATCAGCGATGTGCTGCAGCAGCGGACGCGCGACGAGTGGTGCGAGCACTTTGCTGCCTCGCGCGTGCCGAGTGGCATGTTCTCATATGGGCCCATCAACTCCATCACAGAGGCGTTTGCGGATGTGCAGGCGACGGCGCGAGGGATGGTGCAGACGGTGCACAGCGACGTCTTTGGCGACATCAGGCTCTGTGGGCCCGCAGTCAAGTACTCACAGGGGGACGGGGCGCGTGCTGGTGATGATGGCGATGGTGTAGCGGCGGCGAATAAGGCGACAACAGGCGGTGATGGCGCCAATGTTGAGGAATGGGACGCGTCATCATCATCATCATCATCATCATCATCATCATCATCATCATCATCATCATCATCATCATCATCATCATCATCATCATCACCATCACTAGCGACGCCACCACCGCTGCTTGGCGAGCATTCGCGTGCGGTGCTGCGGGAATGGCTTGGATACGATGACAGCAAACTCGACGCATTCCAGCAGCGAGACGTCATCCGCCAGCACCCGCGGTCACAGACACACGCGCAGGGATGACGATGGTGCGGGAGTGGCGGCGGTGATAAATGTTGCTATTGTTGCTATTGTTGCTGCTGTTACTGCTGTTATTACTACTACTACTGCTGTTTTGTTGCAAGGGTGGCAGTGGTGATGCATTGTTGTGGTACGCAGCGTTGTGGCTGATGAGGACGGATCAGATGTTTAAGTTAGCAGTTGTCGTGTGTTTCCAAGCGTCGTCATCGTCATCATGATGGTGTTGTTGGGAGGACTTGAAGTTGACGTGCTGGGCTGAGGCCGAAATAAACAAGCTTGCTGCACTTGTCCAACTCGTCCACACGATTACCACCACAGCACATGAACCTCACCGTCACCACCATTCCACGTCACATGAACTTCACCGTCACCGCACCATTCCACGTCACTGTCTTCCGCCACCTCTTCCTCGCATCCCGCTGCTCAGTCGTCCACCACCACGACCACCACGACCACCACGACCACCACGACCACGACTGCCTTTCCCTCTGCCCTTCATACCCCCACCTCTCCCCTTACCTCTCACCCCACCTCTCCCCCTCCCACCACCGCCACCACCGCCGTGTGCTTGCTGCTGCTCGTCCTCCACCTGCTGCTTCTCGTCGTGTCGGCGCTGCATCGCCCGCCGCTGCTTCGGCCGCTTCCGGTGCCGCGTCGCGTCGTGCGAATCCTTGAACCTGTCGGAGGGGGCGACGATGGTGGCGATGGTGACGATGGTGGCGATGATGGTGTGAGGATGGATGTGCAGTGGTGGCGTGTAGGTGAGCGCATGCAGGATTAGCTCAAACAGTCGTCATTGGTGGGAGAACGACTGCAAGTACATCAGCAACGCAGAGATAGTTATAGAGAGACAGAGAGACAGAGAGACAGGCAGGCAGACGGACACACACACACACACACACACACACACACACACACACACACACACACACACACACACACACACAAACACATACAGATACACACACACACACACCGATGCATTGTGCGTACTTTTGCGGGAGGTTGCGGGACTGGGCGCGCATGACGCAGCCCTGGGACAGGCGGTGTCCCTCCGCGCACCACCAGCGGCGCAGCTTCGGGAACATATGCGCCGGCACGTAGCAGTACCACAGCGACACAAATGGCGACGTGATTAGCTCCTGCTGCCGCACATTCCGCATCCCTTGCGGTGTCTCAAACCGATACCTTGTGGAGGGGACACAGCGTTTACGTGTGTGCGTGCGTGCATGCGAATATTAAGGTGAGAGGCACCCGGGCAGTGATACCACGACCAGCCGCACAGCAGAGCACATCGCTGTGCACATCACATCACCCACGTAACTTGCACGCATCACATCACATCATCACATCACCGCGACCGACCTGTGGGATGGCGTGATGAAGAAGCAGCCCTCGCCCAGCCGCTCACGTGCGGCTTGGTAGTACGGCTTGGTGTACACGTACACAGGCTGCAGGATGAAGAACGGCTTGCCCATGTCGGCGAGGAACTGCATCAGCCTCTTGATGTGGTTGTATGGCTCCGTCGAGTACGGCGGGTTTGTGATCAAGATGTCATACCTGAATGAGCAAGGAGGGGGGGGGGGGAAGGAGAAAGGGAACACAGCCAGAACAGGTTGTGTTGGGGTGGTTGAGAGAGACTCAAAGTTGTGCGCTGTAGGTTTGGGCTATGTGCGATGGCTGCGTACACGAGCGCGCTTGCAAGAGGAGGTACAAGCAGCGTTCAGGACGCAAGTGGTGAGAGAGTGTGTGCAGCAGATTGCGCCTTGCACGTACTCTGGGATATTGTTGGTGCGGATGTCTTCGTAGAAGTCGGAGTTGCGGTTGATGATGTTGGGGAAGCCGCAGCTGGCCAGCCTCTGCTTCATTGCGCCCGCACAAAAGTATGGGCTACCAACGAGGTGGTGCATTGTGTGTTGAGTGTGTGTGCGTTGAGTGTGTGTGTGTGTTGAGTGAAGCGGGGATGATGAACAGTGGCATTAGTTGAGCGCAACAAGGCACTAAGCACAATAAAGGCAAACACAGACACACACACAGACACACACACAGACAGACACACACAGACAGACACACACACAGACACACACACAGACACACGCACAGACACATGAGGCGTACTCGTAGATGGTGACGGAATCGTCAGTCTTGCCACACATCTCTGCAATCGCAGACACGACGGGAGCAATGTCTGCGTACGCCTCCCGTGGCGTCTCGCAGTGATCCGATGCTGGCATCGCCAAGGCTCTCACCAACAGCAAGCGCAACACCAACAGCACCAACACGTGCACACTGCTTGCTGCTTGTTTGCTGCTGTATTGTGTTGCCTTGTTGCTTGCTTCTTTCCAGCTTGGATTTATTTTTGGTGGATACAAGGGCGACTGACTGGTGGTGCTGTGGATGTGGTGCTGTTGGTGGTGCGAACACGAGAGAGACAGACGCAGGAAGGACAACAAGCAAAGGCGACACACGCACACACACGAGCAGAAGGAAGAAGCAGCAGCAGGCAACGCACAGCGCGTGTTGGAGGAGGAAGACAGGTTCACAGGGTCAACACAAGGAGAAAAGGCGCCAAGCCACACACCACGCTCATTAACCAACGTGCAGCACACTGAAACACGCAACGACATCACCAACAAACGGTCATGGATCGCCTTGCAGACCTGCGAGAGGTGCGTTGAATACGTGTCCACGTACATGGGTGTCGGCATCTTGACGCATGCGTTCTGGCGCTTGTGGCGCACTGAGCCATACACTGCGCAGGCTGCAAGGTGAAGCCTTGGCTGCTTCGTGTGCTCATGCATATCTTCACGCCTCCCCGCTACAAATACAGTTGGCTGGAACAGTGGCAGACGACGAGGAGCCCGAAGAGCAGAACAAGGATGAGGTTGGTGCAGTGTGTTCGTGTGTTTGCATGTATGTGTATGTGTATGTGTATGTGTATGTGTATGTGTATGTGTATGTGTATGTGTGTGTGTGTGTTGTCTCGATAATCATGCGTGCACGCGCATATGTGTTTGGAATGAGCACAGCACAACGTGGTCTGCCTGTTGCCGTTGCATGTGCACACACTGACGGCGGTGCTGCGCGCCATGTTGTGGTGGGGAGCAGGTGACGGTGCAGGTGGACGGCGACAAGCAGGCTGATGAGGAGCCATCGCCCTTCATGTCAGACTTCTTCGATCTGGTGCGCGCATCAAGCATGCCCACTTGCTAACATTGCCATGTGTGTGTGTGTGTGTTTGTGTGTGTGTGTGTGTGTGTGTGTGTGTGTGTGTGTGTGTGTGTGTGTGTGTGTGTGTGTGTGTGTGTGTGTGTGTGTGTGGAGGCGCAATGACTTCTACCCTTGCCTTGGATCGATCGCGGTGGCAGTCTGTTTGAACGCTCACACCCTCGTCCGTGGTGGCGTCTGGCGGCGCTTTCGGTTGCCACAGGTCAAACGCATCATCGAGGACATCAGCACCATCAACCAGCAAATTGACATGTGCGTGCTGTGCTGCCTGTCAATGTTGTGGATGACGCGCGTGTTGTTTGCGTGTGCATGATGCGAGGATTGTTTGTGGATGTGGATGTGTGTGCATGGTACACGTGTTGTGTGTACTTGTGTATGCGTGTCGTTTATGTGATTGTGTGCACTCGGTGCGCTTGTCTGGTTAGCATCACCTCACCTGCTCCTGTATCTGCACGTGGCCGGTGATGGCGCAGCCTGGCGGTCAAGCACGAGCAAGTCATCGCCGAGGCCAACTCAAACAAAGCAAACGGTAATCGTGGTGGGCCTGCTGTGCCCGCGTGCTGGCCGTGTGCTCATGTTGCGTGTGCGTGGTGATGTCAGTGCGGCGGTGTGTTGTAGCGCTTACGTTTGGTGTCGTCACGTCACAACCCCGATGCGTCACGTGGTGTGGGTTGACAGAGATCAACAAACAACTACATGAGCACATGGACAACATCAGCGCCATCGCAAACAGAATACGCCGAGACCTCAAAGGTGTGTGTGTGTGCGTGCGTGCGTGTGAGCATATGCACTTGTGTGCGTGTGCGTGTGCGTGTGCGTGCGTGTGTGTGCGTGTGCGCGCGCGTGTGTGTGCGTGTGTACATGTGTGTGCGTGTGTGTGTCTTCGCGTTGATTGCCTCGTCTCACATCACCTCTGTGTCCACCACCACCACCACCACCACCACCACCATCAGCGATTGAGCAAGAGAACAAGCGTCTCGGGAACCAGAAAACAAATGTGTTTGAAGACGGCACCGTCTCCACAGAGCTCCGTATCCGCCAGTCCCAGCACTCCACGCTCAGCCGCAAGTTTGTCGAGGTCAGCACATGGTGTGATTGGTGTTGTTGGTGTTGATTGGTGCAATGGTGCGACTGTGCTGATTGGTGGGCCTTGCGATGTGATTGACGTGATTGCTGTGATCGCTGTGACTTTGAGAGGGGTGTCCTTACACCACGCTTTTCGTGTTTGTGTGTGTGTGTGTGTGTGTGTTTGTGTGTGTGTGTGTGTGTGTGTGTGTGTGTGTGTGTGTGTGTGTGTGTGTGTGTGTGTGTGTGTGTGTGTGTGCGTGTGTTTGTGTGCGTGTGTTTGTGTGCGTGTGTTTGTGTGCGTGTGTACAGGTGATGACGCGCTATAACGATGTGCAAGCGCAGAACAAGCAGAAGTACTCGGAGGCCGTTCGGCGCCTCTGCTACGTCTGTAAGTACACCATTCCATCGCCACACGTGGTGTTGGAACATGTTCCATGTACGTGTGCGTGCGTGTGTGTTTGTATGATTCAAACAGTCGCAGCCCCTCTCACATCACCACCATGACGGCCAGGCGATCCGACGATGAGCGAGGAGTCTGTTCAGGTCGTGCTGGAGCACGGCACCGCAGGCGTCTTCTCCGGCCTCAGGGTACGGCAAAAGGGGGCGAGGGGGGAGCGATGATAGTGATGCCAATGATAGACGGATGGATGGATGGATGGATGGATTCCTGGAGAGGGCGCTCAACCTTTAAATCCGCACACAAACACATACACACACGTGCAGTCACGTCAAATTCACCATCACAATCCCACGCGCGCTTGCGACATGGCCACATGCGTGTGTGTGTGTGTGTGCGTGCGTGTGTGTGTGTGTGTGTGTGTGTGTGTGTGTGTGTGTGTGTGTGTGTGTGTGTGTGTGTGTGTGTGTATGTGTGTGTGTGTGTGTGTGTGTGTTCCCTTTCTTCAACTGAGCCTCCTTCAGTTTCCTGTGGCACAATAACAGAGGCACAACCGCTAAAGTGAAAACCGCGCTGCACCAACGATGTGGGCACCAAAGTAGCACCACCATGACACGCACGCACATACACACACACGCACACACACACGCACACACGCACATACACACACACGCACACACATACAAGTTCTAATGTCTTACTTGTTCTTGCCTGCTGCCCTTGCCTTCTTGTATGCCTCATTGCCGTGCGTCTTGTGATGGTCCGCACGCTCTGGTGGTGACGGGAGAAGACACGCGCGCACACATACACAGCGGTGGTGTTTTCATGTGAGGAACGCTGTCGATTTCACAATGACTCACATCAACACCAATGTGTGTGGTGGTGTTCAAGGAGATTCCGAGCACCCGATCCAATGTGCAACACACACACACACACACACACACACACACACACACACACACACACACACACACACACACACACACACAAGCAACACACAAAACATCCCCACCAATGGGCGTCAGTTCTGCAAACATCTCTTGCAGGGCAGAGAGATGGGGGTTGTTCACATATTCTTCCTTGGTTGGCTCGTGCGTCATGAACAGCGGGTGCTTCTCCATTTCCTGTTGTGATTGAGAGTGAGAATGCAGGGTCATTGGGAGAGGGGAAGAAAAGGTGGATGAGCAAGGTGGAGATCACAAATGGGGTTCGTTGTGTACAACTCACGCACATGCTACGTGCACAACAACAACAACTTAAACAACAACGCATACAATGTGCGGACACACGTGGCACCTTGTTTTGGTAACAGCGAACCTTAGCATTTGGATCAGCCTTTACACACACACACACACATACACACACATATGAACACACATACACACACACGCATGCACACACACATGCACACACATGCACACACGCATGCACACACATGCACATACACATGCACACACGCATGCACACACACACATGAGTACGTCGTACCTCCTCAAAGTTTTCCTCCGTCCAGTGGCCTGGCCGCCGTTGTATTCTGCCTTCCTTGTATGCCTTGAAGAACTCATCGTCGTCCAGCATGGCAGCCTCCTCCGTTGTCAGCACGCGCACCTGCTTCTTCTCCCCATCGCTGCCATCGCCGCCTTCCTTCCCCTGCGTCGCTGCCTGCGCAGCAACCACGTGCTGCTCCTTCCCTTCTTCGTCGCCTCGCGGCTGTTCTTTGGGCGCACTCATATTCGCTATTCTTTGTACTGTCGTAAAGCGTAAATACATGCATACTGAATTCAGTTTTTCGCCAGTGCAAGCAAAGACAAGCAGAACGAGCGAGCTGAGCGAGAAGCACCGTCACCACCTCCAGCCAACCATGTTCTCACGAACCGCCGCAGCACCCACGGACCAGCAGGTGTGTGTGTGTGTGTGTGTGTGTGTGTGTGTGTGTGTGTGTGTGTGTGTGTGTGTGTGTGTGTGTGTGTGTGTGTGTGTGTGTGTGTGTGTGTGTGTGTGTGTGTGTGTGTGTGTGTGTGTGTGTGTGTGTGTGTGTGTGTGTGTGTGTGTGTGTTTGTGGTTGGCTTGTGTTTGTTGTCGAGGTCGAAGCTGGGTTGTTTGCACAACAAGCCCTTGCACTTATTTATGTTAACTCCAAACACCGCACACGCACTTCCTGCTGCCACCTTCACTGCACCGTTCTTGTGTGGTTGTGTTTTTGTGTGTTGCGCTCATGAATTAATTGCATTGCAGGTGGTGTCCCCGCCTTCAGACACGGTGCAATCGCTGCGGTTCTCCCCTGTGCCTCACTCACAGTCGTCCATCTGCCTCTTGGCCGGCTCATGGGATGCCACGGTGCGCATGCTTCTGTCTTGTTGACATGGTGGGATCGTGTGTTGGGGATGCTGGTGGTTGTCTGCCGGCTGTTTCGCCTCTGAGAAGTTGGGGTGTTGAGCAGCGTGCTTGTTTTGGTTTGCCACACGCACGCGCGTCGATTCACTGTGATTTTGTGCGAAATGTCAACCCGTCCCACTCTGCAACAATCGTGCATCATGTGCACGCGTGTCCTGGGCACAACGTTTTTGTTTGCGGGCTGCAATGTGGTGTGGTTGGTGCAGGCACGGCTTTGGGAAGTGAACCACATGGGTCAGTCCAACGCCCTGCTTCAGCAGACTGTGGAGGCCCCTGTCCTCGACGTCAACTACAAAGCGGTGCGACCGACGGTGAACTGGTGCTGTTGGTTATGGTTTGCTGCGCTCTGTGCGCTGGGCACATGTCTCAGTGATGCGTAGTGGCTTCTCTCCAATCCCCTCACCACTTCAACCCTTTGCTTGGCTTCGACAGGATGGCACCGCAGGCTTCATTGCGTGCGCCGACAACACCGTCAAGATGTGGGACTTTCAATCGCAGCAAGTCACAACCGTCGGCAAGGTAAACTACTGAAACTACTGCAAGCCATGCAAGTTGCACGATGCATGCCATGCGTTGAACAAAGTGCAGCCAACGTTTCATACCTTTGCTCGCCCTCACGTTTCCTCTTGAAACTGGTGCACTCGACTGACCAACACCCACCCACACATCCACACCCACACATCCACACCCACACATCCACACCCACACACATCCACACACACACACACACACACACACACACACACACACACACACACACACACACACACACACACACACACACACACACACACACATCTGTTGCAGCACGATGCACCTGTGAAGACGTGCAACTGGATTGGACATCTGGGAGTGCTGATGACGGGCAGCTGGGACCGAACCATCAAGTTCTGGGACACGCGCAGCCCACAGCCCATGGCACAATTTGCCCTCTCTGGTCAGTTCACTGTGCGCATGCATGACTTACATCGACTCGTGCACGTGTGTGTTTGTGTGTGTGTGTGTGTGTGTGTGTGTGTGTGTGTGTGTGTGTGTGTGTGTGTGTGTGTGTTCCTTTGACTGCGTGGGCATCTGCTTGTTGTTAACGCGAAATCGTGTCGTGATCTGCAGAGCGCGTGTACTCTGCGGATGTGCGCGAGAACTACGGCGCCGTCGCAACAGCAGACAAGTGAGCAGCGCTGTGCACACGCCCTTGTGCTTGTGTATGTGTATGTGCGCGCGTGTGTGGGTGTTTGTGTGACGCACAACTTTGCTTTGTCAGCTTGTGCACGTCTCTCACATGTATGGACTGCACCCTATGTGTGTATGTGTGTGTATGTGTGCGTCAACAGCAAAGTGCACGTGTTTGACCTGTCGCAGAACCCGCAGCAGAAGGGCGTGGTGGACACGACGCTCAAGATGCAGACACGTTGCATTCGCTGCTTCCCAAAGAAGGTGCACCATCGTTCACAATCACGCACGCTCCTCTTTCCACCCAACATTTTCACATCCCTTTGAACAAACACACTTGCCAACCTGTACTCCCTTCTGCTTTGGTTTGCATCCTTGTCTCATCATTCTTGTGCTTTTGTGTGTGTGTGTGTGTGTGTGTGTGTGTGTGTGTGTGTGTGTGTGTGTGTGTGTGTGTGTGTGTGTGTGTGTGTGTGTGTGTGTGTCAGGATGGATTTGCCGCTGGCTCGATCGAGGGCCGCTGCGCCATTGTGTACACAGAACCGCCGCGACAGGCAGAGGTGCGCACACAGATGAAGGTGGTGCATGTGCACATGTTCGCACAATCAATATGTGCATTTGTGTGCAAATGTATGTCCTCCCTTGTATCGACGGTCTGTACCATCGTCCCACCATCACCCGCTCATCGCCATCTCACCGTTGCGGTCCCGACTGCAGACGTTCTCGTTCAAGTGCCACCGTGAGACGGGCAAGATTTACACCGTCAACGCCATCGCCTTTCATCCACAGGTGCGCTGATGCCTTGATTGCTGTTGACACGCAGCTGGCGTGCTTTCCTTTGCCCAACAAGCATCAATTCACACACGTCCACATGTACTCTTTGCACGCTTCTTTTGTGGTTGCAGTTCCACACGTTCGCCACCTGCGGCTCTGACGGTCAAGTCCACACGTGGTATGCATGAGATTTTTTGATGCCGTCCATCTCCATTTCCGTGTTTCCTCCTGTGCTCAGGGCCATTCGAAAGCGCAGGGCGTCTCGAGCACGATTATGATCCACACCATCAACGCAGACAAGGACGTCCGGCCCCCACGCAAATGAACACACACACACACACACACACACACACACACACACACACACACACACACACACACACACACACACACACACACACATACACGCACACACACACACACAGAGCGCGCATACGCAATTCCTCCACCGTCTTCTTCTTCCACGTGCGTTTGGCTCATCCCTACACTGCTTCTGCTTTGATGTTTTGTTTCTTTGCATCAGTAAACCATTACCCGTACAGACATGTGATGTGATTGCTCTTCATTTATTTGAAAGAAAAACGCAGAACTCAATTGGGGGAACGATGTGCGTTGATGCCCAGCAACAACAGCATCATCAGCAAAGTCAAACACAAGTAGGCAGCTTGAACCAACAACAGGCCAAACCAAACAACACCCCTCACTCACGCTTCTGCAAAGCAGCCATTGTCTATCCCTCACTCAACACACCACCGGCACAGTGAAATAACACTGTCGCACGTCTGCAACAACCGAATCAGCGCCTTCCACACCTCAATCGAAACACACAACAGAACCAATCCATGTTGTGAGCCACCATTTGCACCACCACCACCACCACCACCACCACCTCCGCACATCCTCTACACCTCGTGCTCCTCCTCCAGTGTGTATGCGGCAAACGCCGGATTTGTCGCCTGCATCTGCAGCTGTGCGCGCCGTCGCCTCCGCGCAACCGTCGTCGCAGCGGCAGCAGCGCCGGATACAGACATGTCCGTCTCCCGGCGGTCGCGCGCGTATGTGTGCAGCCGCGGCCGCAATCTCGCCGTCTCGGCCTCCAGCTGGCCACGTGCAGACTCGATTTTGTCCAGCAGTTCGCGTGTTGTTGTCTCCATGCGCATCATCTCTGGGGACCACTGCCGCCGCTCCACCTGCGACCGCTCCTCCGCTGCCCACATCAGATCTCCAATCCACTCACCGAGCACCCGCACCAGGTCCATGCGGCCCCGCGCGTGCCGTTTCCCGTCCTCCCCCGCGTCCTCAATCGTCCCGCCAGCAACAGACACCCACCCGTCGCGCGTTGTCGACAGCTTCCCCACTGCCGGCGCCACGGGGGTGTCCTGTCCAAACGCGTGCAGCAGCGCGCTTGCTCCGCGTTCGCTTGCGCGCCAGTACCGCTGCAGGTTGAGGCCTTCCTCTTCCTCGCCCTCGTCCTCCCTGCCCGCGCCCCACGCCCGCGTCTCAAGGAACTCCACGCAGCTGCGCATGTGCTCCTCCGTGATGCCGGCCGGGTCCGCCGGCAGAAACAGCCCGTGGAACTGGAAGATGCTCGCCAGGGTGTCGCGCGCGCGCACGCCGGACGCAATGTGATTGCCGTCAGGGTACAGCTCCAGGTTGAAGTCGCAGAACCGCTTGATCGCGCTGTCGCCCTCTGGCACGGCGGTGGTCGTGTTGTTTGCACTTACCGCACTCAACCCACCCTTCTTGGTGACACCGTTGCCAGTCTCCTTTCTGGAGGAGCCATTCTTCGCTGTGCCTTGGCAGCTGCTGCCTCTGGCATCGCCGCCACTCGCGACCACGTCTTCAACAGCATTGGCGTCGTGTCGCTGTAGGCGTGCACGGCGGTGCTCGCAACCAGATGATGACACCGAGGAAGGCGCTTCCGATGATGGCGATGGTGACGATGATGTTGGTGATGGAGAGGCCGATGCCTTGGCTCCAGGGCCATCATGGCGCTCCTGCTGCTGCTGCTGCTGCTGCTGCTGCTGCTGCTGCTGCTGCGCATCGTCGGCGCTGTCGTCGCTGTCGTCACTGCTCTGACTGTTCTCATCCTCGCTGTCATCGCTGACGATGGTGGTCGTGGTGGCGGTAGTTGGTGTTCGCCCCAGCACTGGTTTGCCCAGCACCCTCACATCGCTCTCTCCACCCTCGAGTGTCTTCGTCTCCATGATGCCAGTGCCGGTGTCGTCACAGGGCACATCACCTCCCCCGCTGGAGACGAGCAGCGGCAGGACTGCAATGCGCCGCGACCGCTGCTGCTGCAGTGCCAGCTCCATCTCCGTCAGGAAGTTGTCGGGCGTGTGCTTGAATGTCCCCTCCCGCACCTCTGCCAGGGATTCGTGCGACAGCAGCGGGAGGTACGCGCAGGAGCGCATGAGCCCTTTCCTGAACCGCTGCCGCCAGTCGTCGCCCTCGCGAATGTCCTGTCGGTCCAGGAAGCACACGACGCGGTGGCCCGTGGTGAGGAACAGCCGCTGCAGCCGCGAGCACAGCTCCTGCGCCAGCTCGTCGTGCACATCGCGCCGGTAGCTGATGAAGAAGTGGAACGTCTTTCGCTTTGCGTAGCGCTTGCGGTACACGTGGTACAGCCAGGCGAGGGCACCCACGAGCAGCAGCACGAGCAGCACCACCAGCACCGCCGCCGTCTGGCCGGGGGTGAGGGTCCTGCTTGCCGAGTCAGCGCTTGAGCGCGTGGTGCACGCCAGGCGGCCCGTGGAGAGGCGGTGCAACACAGGGTACGGGGAGACCGGGTCACACGACAGGCAGTCTGTGGCGTTGCACGTGAGGCAGTTGCTGCCAGCCGGGCACTGATCGCATCGCCCTCCAGTTGTCAGCACAGATGATGATGATGATGATGATGATGATGATGATGATGATGATGATGATGATGATGATGATGATGATGATGATGATGATGATGATGATGATGACAAGGAGACGGCGCGGGATCCACGGGGACACACGCGCAGGCAGGAGGAGCGGTTGACAGAGACGAATAGACCAGCCTCACACCGCGAACACATGTCCGCACTCACATCGCACGAGATGCAGTGCTGCGCTGCGCAGCTGCGGCATACCCCGCCAATGCCAGACGGGCCGGCGGAGGCGTGGAAGCCGAGCGGGCACGCGGGCACGCAGCGGCCATCGAGCAGAAGGAAGCCGTTCTGGCACACGCGGCACTCGTCGTCGACGCGGCACACGCGGCAGTTGGGCTCCAGACACGGCCGGCACACGCGCGAGATGGTGGCGTTGGTGCTGGCGATGGTGGCGGTCGTCGCGTTGGTGGCGGTGCTGGCAGGTGCAGATGTTGTCAGCAGTGCGGCCGCCGTTGCAGCTGTCGTTGTTGTTGTGGTGGTTGTGGTTGTTGTGGTGGTTGTTGTGGTGGTTGTGGTTGTCGTGCTTGCGATGGACATGGATACGTCAAGCACATCTGGGACGCGACCGTCGGTGGCGTCGCACACGGACCGGTCGACGCAGCGCCCGCTGAGCAGATATGCCGCTGCTGCATCCGGGGAGCAGCGCGTGCACACGTCGCTCTCGCACTCGATACAGTTCACCTCCGTGCACGGGCGACACACTCCGCCACGAACGCCAATCGTGCGCGTCCCGAGCGCGTGTGTCCCTGGCGGGCATGTGTGTATGCATGCGTCGTTGTGGAGGAAGAGGCCTGGTTCGCACGCCTCGCACGTGCTGGCACTGGTGCAGCTCTCGCAGCCGTCGCTGGCACACGGCGTGCACACGAGGCCGCCCGCAGCCGTTGCAGCGAACGTGCGGGCCGGGCAGCGGGCGACACACGCGCCATTGTGGAGGACAGACCCTGATGCACAGGCGGTGCAGATGCTGGCGGACACGGGGCAGGCGAGGCAGGCGGAGTCGATGCAGGGCTGGCAGGTGCCGTTGGTGGCAGAGTAGCCCGCAGGACACGCAGCGACACACGCGCCCTCATGGAGATAGAGGCCGGGGAAGCACTTGCGACAGTCCAAGCCGTCACTGGCAGCGTCGCACGCCTCGCATCCGGAGCTGGCACAACCTGCATCGACATGACACGCACGAATGATAACATTGGTGTGCACACGTGAAAAGAGAGAGAGAGGGGGGGGGAGGAGTGTGATTGTGTGTGTTGGGGGGGGGAGGAGTTGTGAGGATTACAGAACGCCAATCAATGGAGGTGAAGGGGTGTCTTCTGGGAGGAGGGGGTGGGAATGGGAAGGGCACGCACGCACTTAAGCACACGCACACAATCACACACGCACACAATTACACACGCATACACACGACACACACGCACACAATCACACACGCACACACGCGTACACACACACACACAACACACGCATACACGTAAACACACGTACACACGCATACACACACAACACACGCATACACACACAACACACGCATACACATACACACATACACACGTGAGCGAACCTCTGCAGAACGCCTGTCCGACGGTGATTGGAAACGGGGTGCTGGCCAGCTCAACGTCAACCCCGGCGAAGCGGCCGCGGAAGAGAACATTGCACGCCACGGCATCGCCCGTGTCCGCATATGTTCCTGGCGGGCAGTTGGGCAGCACAAAGTCCAGCAGCTGCGTCTGCAGGCCCTGCAAGCCGAGCTCTGCCTGGTCAAACACGTCCACGGTCTGTGCAAACTGCTGGATGAGCTGGGAGACGTTGAGACCAAGTTGGAGGCTGAGGCGCAGGATGGCCCCGCCCTCCAGCCGCTCCTGGGCCGGCGCCCACCCGGTCAGGTCGTTGCACGACGGATAGCACGCGCGCGGTGACACACACGCGCGGTGCGAGGGGTCGTAGATGCTGGCGCCGAGGAGGGAGGTTGGGCAGGTGGGAAAGGCGGCAATGTTGTCGCGAAGTGCTGCCAGCGTCGCCTGCTGGTCCTGTGTCAAGCACGTGCAGTCGCCCACATCAACAGCAGCGAGCGGCAGCAGCACCGTCGTCCCTGTGCCCGTGGAGGCCGTCGTGGTGGCCGTCGTGGTGGCCGTCGTGGTGGCCGCGGTGGTTGGCTGCGCTGCCGTTGTGGAGGACGTGGCATTACCAGCGCCGCCAGTGCCGGCGTGCCTGGCTGCAATGGTGGCCGTGAGCTCAGCTGTTGCGTTGCACATGATGGCGACATCCGATGCAAACCGCGTGTCATGTGCCGCCCACGCGTGCGCGCAGCAGTCATCAACGGTGAACACGGGTCGCGCCTCGTAGGGGAGAGCAGACAGCAGCGGGGACGTGCACGCGGTCGTGGCGTTGGCGGCAGCACTGGTGCAGTTGATGATGGTGTGCGGGAGGTGCACGATGTTGCGCCGCACAGGCAGGGCAGTGAAGGCCGTGTGGGGCAGGGAGGTGAGGGCGGTGTCCGTGAGGTTGATGGTGCGCAGCAGGCTGCTCTGCGCCAGCGCCGCAAACGGTGAGCCTGAACAGTAAACACAAACACGTGCACATGACAACGTGAACGCGTGCGTGTGTGCATGGCGTGTGGAGTGGTTGGTGAGAGGAGAGAGGACGGGAAAAAGGAGGACGGTTGAGGGGGGGGGGGAATGGAAGAAATGGGAGAAGAGGGAGGAGAGGGAGATGGGAAGAGCAAGAGGGGCAGAGGTTTACATCACACACACACACATGCCCACACACACACACATGCCCACACACACACACACACACACACACACACACACACACACACACACACACACACACACACACACAC